CCTCCCTGCACTGTGAATGTTTACATGTTATGTGCAATTAAACCATGGCAACATCTAATGTTTTGTGTAGTATTATGTTCAGCAGACTGTGTTCTTCTATTGTTGTGACTTAGATGACGTTCAGAGCCCATTTTTATGCCCAATTCATGCAAAACTCCACGTAATCCCAAGGGGTTCACATACTTTTTCTTGCAACTGTAGACATAACACGATTAGTGCAAAAATGAATGATAATGTAACCAAATTCCAAAATATAAACGTCCAATTAAATCTTCGCTGCACATGCACATCCACACGTGACTGTACACACTTCTTCCTTTCTTCCTTACACAATTAGTGCACCTCCACCACACCAGGCGAAAAACCTGCTCACCTCTAATATATCATTAAGAGCACATCCCATTCACAATAAAGCAGCCCTTCTGGTCCCGAAATCCACTTCTTATCCAAGTGTTATCCCACTTCTCCTCTGCTAATACTCAGAGATTGATGGATATGTGACCATGTAATAAAAAGGCCAAAACATAGTGCTCTCTGTTTGAGACTTATTTTCTCCACTATTAAAATAACACTTGCATAATATTCATATAAAAACAGCATATATTTTAAAGATTCCGGTCACCACTCCGCTAGCAAGATAGCAATCGTAACAAAGATCAGCTCCTCCTCCCTAGATGCGTTGTGCCCACATACGGGCTTCTTCAGTAGGCAGAGGAGTAAATAATGCCAAACCTTATATAGTCTACCAAAAATCTCCATGGATATTTTTGCACTAATTGTGTTGATATGTCTATATTGCGCTGCACTTTTAATTTTATCGATTTTTGTTAGGGTGAGGTGAAATTTGCTAACAAGTGTTCAACTTGCATTATTTTATTGTGTTTGGGATTTATTTATATATATTTTTCCACTGGTATCTGTACAAGTATATATAAATATATGTAGCTGCGCTGATTATAACATTTTTTTGATATTTTAAATGGCAGAACAAGGCTGCATGCACAGTCACAGGGAGCACCAGCCTTCATAAGTCAGTGTGCTGAAAGACATTGTCCTGGTACTATTCTGACCACGTGAGTTACCACGTCTGCTATTTTATCATAGACAGAAAGTTAGAAGAAAGAACAAATGTGAAATTCTGTGTGAAACTAGGCAAATCACTGGATCTTCGCAATGTTGTCAAAGTGGCGACCTTTGAGCTAAATCTTCATCTTCAGGAAGAGGGCATTTTCAGGGGTTGAGCTTGCAGAAGGTCTTCCTGATCTTTCATCGTTTTCCAGTGATGTTCTTCTGCTCTTGAAGCGCACATGCCACTCAAAACGACTTATTGCGGCATTGCTGAAATCTTGCTGAATCATGTCAAATGTGTCTATGGCAGATTTGTTCTCACTTGCTGTCCATGATGAAATAGCAGATGTGGTAACGCACGTGGTCAGAATAGCACCAGTTGCACAGCTCCCGATGTACTCAGGACAATGTCTTTTGGCACACTGACTTATGAAGGTCAGTGATCCCTGCGACTGTGTGTGCAGCCTTGTGATGCCATCTGTTGGCGTGTTACAAAACTAGTCTTGAAACTTTTTGATACCACCTCATAGCTGGCAGTAAAGATTTTTGGATGGGGGAATTGAATCATTTTTTTTTTTCTCCTGGGCCAAAATTGTTGTTGTATATGGAGGGGACTTTAGAAACATTTGTTATATTAAATATTATAATTATTCCTTATATAACCTTGGGATAGTAAGGGCTCTTTCACACAGGAGGAAGTGGGGTCATAAAAAAGGTGGCTGAGCCCCCTCCCTTTCTCTTCTGCCCACTGAAATCTTAACATTAGAACCTGACAGGGCTGTACAAATGCCACTACCTGTCAAACTTGCCCATTGAGATCACACTGCAACTGCAAGCAAACCACATTTATAGAGTAATTAAAAAAAAACACAAAACAAATAGGTGTCAGGAGACAGAAGTAGTGCCTCTTGAATGCCTGTCAGCCACTAATATAATGCCCTCTGAAAAGCGATCTAATGTGGGAAACTGTGGATCACTTTTCAGAGGGTAAGCACTGCCGCCTATCTGAAAAAAAGCCTAAGAGTTCTTCTTTATGTCTTTAATCTTCAATATGATTGGAAAGTGCATTGCCATAAGTGTCACAGAGAATAGCTGTGATAGACAGGAATAAGATCCTTAGAGAAAGTACACAAATATTGAATGTGATTTACTGGTAAGTGATATTCCCAGGAAGGCCATCAACTACTAAATCATGCCTCACAGGCTATTGAGAGGAGCATGGTACAAGGCACACGGGCTTCATGTTGTAAAACTAAATACGTATATTTTGTGGATTAGCAAATCCTTCACTTCCTACTTTCTGTATTACAGTTTTGGAGAAGATTTATTGTAGCTTTGCCTAAAATATGATATATTACATGAAGCAAGTTGCTTTAATAACATGTTTCTCTTCACATAAAGAAATTTGGTTATAAATAAGATAAAGGACATAAAGCTATTTTTCTCTTTGAATTTAGTATGATAAAAAAAACTGTTACGACAAGGAAATCAGAAGAGGAAATAAAGAGGAGCAACTGCACATGCCCAGAGCATAGACAAAACAAGAGGCAAAATGTCACAAAAGTCACATGAGATGTGTGCTTGTAGTGACATCTAAATCTAATCTTACAATGGTGTGAGGAGATGTAAGAAAATGAACAGCTAAAGGAAGGAACAATATACTATACATGGTAACAAACAAGCAATCTGTGTCTATAAATAAAACAACAAGCAATAGCAGAAGGGAAGTAGCTGGATTACAGCAGCATAAACAGTTCAACATCAGGGTCACTTACAAAATTGTCCAGAACTGGATTCCATTTCACCGTCTCCCAGGGGTCTAGTCACACCACTTATCCTGAAAATCTTCAAGCCCACTACTACTAAAGCTTGAAAGGATCTCAGACCAAGGTACAGGCAACATTTTGCATCTGGCATCACACCTCATTGTCTTTTATCATTGTCTTTCATCATGAATTTCTTCTGTGATCCCTGCCTCTTGTGAGTGCTACAAAATGCTACTGGCGACATTGAAACAGCCTCTTTTTAAAGATTGTTACTTTGAAATATCAGCATTCTGTAGCTCTCTGTTGCAACTGCAGTTGTCAAGTAACACAGATGGGTCCTTTTTTTATCCCCTCGAAAAAGTCAAATAGACGAAACATGTTGGGTGGAGTGCCGTGAGGCACACTAACAGAGAAGAGGTGTTTTCTCCCCTTGGAGAAGCAGCCTGATCTCTGCAAGCACTGGAGCGGTCAACTGGATCGGTGAGCTGCAGGTTGCATCCTACTCTGTATTAGCAATGTTCTGCCTCTGAGCATAGTTTCATTTGTGAGTGTGCTTTTATTGTACAAATAAAGTGTAACAAATATTCATATACAGAGAGCACAATCTGTTTCATTTCTGTATCCTTTTATGGTCGGATTAATTTGTTTGGAGTGAACCTCTTAAAGAAAAAACATCAAAGAGCCAGTGGTGAAGCTGAGCTCGGCTTTTTACAGGGGAACTAGTACTGTAGGAACTTTTATAATATGAAGGTCCCCTTATAACATGAGTCTATCTACTTGCTCTAGGTGGTTGTTGGAGATTCACTTACACATGTTGAGATTTATGTGAGCATGAACTGATGAATGCACTGATTATTAATTTGCTCACAAATTATTTATACACGCATGGCACTATAGTTTATGTAGTGTATTTTTTATTAATACAGTTTTTGTTTGTGATTGGTGGTGTATTAATACTTAAAGCGGAAATACACTGCATCTGAGCAGCACAAACTATTTAACTCATTTTTAATATTCAAAGCAAACTCCCCCATCCATCCATGTCTCCAAGCTTTATTTTGCTGAGAAATCACTTTGAAAAAACACCCCTCTAGCATGTCTGGCCACGGCCTTCTTAGGTAAGGGCAGATTAATTTACTTCCTGGAATCAACAATCCATCTACCTTAGCTGAGAAAGCCTCTCCTCTCCTCCTGAAGACTCCTAGGATGTATGACATCATTTGCCTAGGCCTGGAAACCAGGAAGCAACTATGGAAATCTAAAAAAAGTTTAAAACAAGTAAATATAATATACTTTCCCATCTATTTACTAGTGCTAGCATGATAAGGAATAAAAATAGTCCATGATGATTGAGAGAATGAAGTTCTACTTTGAAAGTTTTTTTATACACTGTTTAAACGCGGCACATTGGGGAATATACACTATATTGCCGAAAGTATACTGCCTTTACATGCACACAAACTTTATTGGTATCTCAGTCTTAGTCCGTAGGGTTAAACATTGAGTTGGCCCACCCTTTGTAGCTATACCAGCTTCAACTCTTCTGGGAAGGCTGTCCACAAGGTTTAGATGTGTGTCGATGGGAATGTTTGACCATTCTGCCAGAAGCACATTTGTGATGTCAGGCACTGATGTCGGATGAGAAGGCCTGGCTCGCAGTCTCCGCTCTAATTCATCCCAAAGGTGTTCTATCGAGTTGAGGTCAGGACTCTGTGCAGGCCAGTCAAGTTCCTCCACCCCAAACTCGCTCATCCATATCTTTATGGACCTTGCTTTGCACACCAGTTTGCAGTCATGTTGGAACAGGAAAGGGCCATCCCCAAACTGTTCCCAAGAAATTTGGAGCATGAAATTGTCCAAAATGTTTTGGTATGCTGACATCTTAAGCATTCCCTTCGCTGGATCTAACGGGCCAAGCCCAACCCCTGAAAAACAACCCCACATCATAATCCTCCCTCTACCAAACTTTACACTTGGCACAATGCAGTCAGGCAAGTACCGTTCTGGCAACCGCCAAACCCAGACACGTCCTTCGAATTGCCAGACAGAGAAGCATGATTGGTCACTCCAGAGAACACTTCTTCAGTGCTCTAGAGTCCAGTGGCGGTGTGCTTTACACCACTTTGCATTACACTTGGTGATGTAAGGCTTGGATGCAGCTTCTCTGCCACGGAAGCCCATTGCATGAAGCTCTCTATGCACTGTTGTTCTAATCTGAAGGCCACATGAAATTTGGAGGTTTTTAGCTATTGACTCTGCAGACAGTTGGCGACTTCTGCGTACTGTGTGCTTCAGTATACGCTGATCCTGTTCTGTCATTTTATGTAGCCTACCACTTTGTGGCTGAGTTGCTGTTGTTCCCAGTTGCTTCCACTTTATTATAATACCACTAACAGTTGAGTGTGGAATATTTAGTAGCAAGGAAATTTCACGGATGGACTTATTGCACAGGTGGCAACCTATCACAGTACCACGCTCGAATTTACTGAGCTCCTGAGAGCGACCCATTCTTTCACAAATGTTTGTAGCCGCTGTCTACATGCCTAGGTGCTTGATTTTATACACCTGTGGCCATGGAGGTGATTGGAACAACTGAATCCAATGATGTGGAGGGATGTCTCAGTACTTTTGGCAATATAGTATATATTGTTTAGAAACTTTGAGTGCTGCAGCTTTATTTTCACATATTAATAGGTGAGCGTGAAGTGTTTCATTGTATAAACTTTTTATTTTAGCTTGTAAATGCAAAAGAACATCACATTAAAGTGGTAGTAAACTGCAGGAAAGAAAAAAAAAAAAGTCCCCTACAAAGTAATTTCATGGTTGATCGGGAAAGGAGAATACCAGGCACTGTATGTCATCTGAAGGTAAGTACTTATCTCTATTGAGGTGGCCATACACACATCAATCCTCTATACAATCAGATAATTGTATTGAATTTAAAATTATGAAAAGAGATGGGCCTTAACAACATGA